ATATCATTATTATTATACATGTTAACCGAGAAGTGCATACAATGTGCATGGTGTCGACGGCTTGTGAAAATCGGCCGATTCGCGCAGCAGACCATCGCTGACGTCACACACACAGAAGATGCGCTCCCGGACATCTACCTACTATGTATATATACAACAGCCGAATAATATTGTATCTGTCGTGTCGGTTATTTCAATAAATAAACCTCGTGTGTGCATAAAAGAAATTGAAACTCAATGGGATTCATTAACATAACGCTTGTGTTGTAGCACACGTACAACGTTATTGATGTATGTACCACGTATACCTACAATGTCGCCTATACATTGAAAGGCATTCACGGTAAATGCGCTATAGGTATAAAGTCAAGCAAACACAAAGAGTGGGCGCACTCGCAATAACTAACAGCCGTCGATAATCGTTGTTTTAATAATAATAAATATTTTTTAACAGTACCTACCAACAAACGTTAGGTTTTTCTTTTTGATAAAACGATTAAAAAACAACTGAACAATGATTGAAAAATGTCCCGACCTGGGAGGCAGCCATTTTGTGTACAAACTTTCATAGAAAGTAAAAATGCCACGTTACTTATCCGTGATATATAATACAATGTCAGGATAGGTGATGATAACATTTTCATAAGCAGCCGACTATAAGCTAAAATAATTTCCATATATTGAGTTCACTGTCCAATATAGTCATGCTCAAAGCACAGAATGAATTAAATCAGAAAGGACAGTTTCATGTTCTAAACCTGCTATATAATCAAAATAAATTTTATCTGTACACAACTAATAACACAAACGTATTTAGATATAATACTCTAACGATAAACAATTGAGTCGCTTCGTTTTTGTGTGATAAGTATTTATTTTATATAAGTAAGTTCTATCACTTTACATTGAACTCGAAAATTCACCTTACGAACTTTGTTAAGGCGTTCGGTATAGGCAATTTTTCGCAAAAACTTGATTCGCAACTAGAATTTCATTCGGTTTGTTTGCCCGTGTAGTATAGTAAACTATTCTATTTTTTCCTTATAAATAGTACTCTGGACTTTAAAACACGACAAACAATGTATACATAGAAAATATGTAAAAAAAAAATAGCACTGTTGTATGTTACAGGTGTACTATATGAATCTAATGCAAAAATTAAAATCGTTACTGTTAATATTATATATCGTTCTACTATTTCGAGATCTTAACTAGTTGTTGACAGAACTGCGTACATTGCAACACTATTATCTCCACTTTCTACCTATTTATTCCGGTATTATATATTTTATTATAGTAGATATGCGTTTCATAGGATCGTTAAAAACCACAAATTTCTTCAAAATAACATTATTTAACGTCTAAGACGGATAGACACGGGGTACACGTTACTTGTGGCCGTATTGGATTTGCTGGGAATTTTTAAGAAAATCTAATTCGAACAACCTTCCTCATATTTTGCCAAGACACGATAATAGTATTACGGCGTTTTCTCGGTCAAGTACAATGTTAAATATGCGAATTACGCAATTTATTTTCGTTTCGTGCATCGTGCCCGGCAGTTATTAGAGCGGCCACGTTAAAGTTACACAACTAATTGGATTGTTGTAGGTATATAAGTATAATATTATTAATAATAATAATAATTATTATTATTATTATTATTTGGTACAAACGGCAACAGCGCGCGGCCACCATCGCCAAAAAAACCTTTAGCAGTGGCCCAGTTCGGTCGCGCACAATGGTTTTCTATACAATATCGATATCAATATTGTCTGGTAGCACTTATGACACACATAACGAATACTCATAAATACATATAGATATTATGTGTGTATGTTATTACTATACAGGTGTTGTTATTATTATTAAAAGTGGATCTTCCGCGACGACGACACTCGGGATGGACGCCCAGACGTTGGTTTACATTGTTCGTCTAGCCTACCGTAAACATTTATTGCGGTCTGTATACACACAAGCGATTTATATACCTATACCTAATATACATATTATGGAAAACGCTTTGTAGATCATATACTCGGTCAAAGGAGCTGCTCCGAATAAAACAACATGACGATTTCATCGATTACAAGAGTAGGCACTATGAAATCCGATTACAATACAATCGTTTGTTTAACATACTTAACAATTAGGGCAAACGCGAATTTATTAATCTTTTTCTCAAAGAAAAATCCGGCAATTTATACGATTTATTCGAATCGTGTTGAATTCAAAGCTATTTCTACAACAATAAATTGTTGCTTAAAATATCGCATTCGTATTTGTTTAAAATTATCCCACTCAAGAGTTGGGCAAATTTTTGTTTTATTACTTAAATAATTTTTTACTCGACTCTTCAAACGCGCATAAATTTGAATAAATGATTTTCGAGTATTAGGTCAATTGGTTATTAATGTGGAAAATTGTCCAGTTACATTCGTTCCATTTGGTTGCGGTTAAATTTGTAATTTGTTTCATATATTGTTTTTTCGTACATTATTTTCAGTATTAGACAATTCTTTTAATCCACTTATTTATTTATGTTTTAATAGCTAACACCTTTTGCGTACACTGTGCACACCGGCTTAACTCGGGCCTTTATTTTTATATATAAATAAGAGTAAATGACTTTAAGGGTGGTTGACCGGGTCTTGGAACTGTCACAAAAGAGTATTGTTTCATTTAGTGATAAAAAATGTTTTTATTAAAACTACCTTTCATTTGCGATTATCAGTAATTATATAGAGAAAGGGAGTACAATTTTTGAGTGCGATAATTTTGATACCAATTATAATAAAATGTACATACAAAAAAATATATATATATATTATGAAGGCCTCGCAACTAACGTGGGCTCTAGAACCTAATATTTTTAATCGGTTTTATATAATAATATGCTAATATATGTATATTAATTTACTTGAAATAGGTTATATGGGTTATGATGTTGCACATAATATACATATTACCTATTTAAACAAAATATAATGTATTCTAAACAAATATTCCTATAACATTATTTGTTTAAATTAATTTTAAAATCTATTTTTAAAAACGTTTAGCATATTTATTCAAAATTAGTGTAGTAAATATAAAAATATACCTATATTATTATTGAAACCCCGTATTATAATTTATAATAATTTTACATGCAAAATAATATAGATATATCGATTCGATTTCAGTATTCCTATATCATCATAAAATATCTAATCTATGAAAATATAATATATTTTAATATAGGATATAGGGCGCCATTTTTTTATAGTTTACATACTTTACTATACATTAATGTATTCAGAGTGATAAATTTACTGTAGCATACTCATTTTGAAAACTTCATAGTGTAAGCTACATGACAATAAGTACTAGAAGATTAATTATCTAATGCTTACATCTTTAAATCGTTTTACTCAGTTCTATCTACTTTTGTGTTAACTTAGATAGTAACAACTCCAATGCACATCTCTAGGTCTAAACTTTGTTTATAGTTAAAAACTAAAAAAAAAAACCGTGTATGAATCTAGTTTTTCACTAACCATTTATATTCAGCCAAAGTTTCAAATATTTATGTCGCCATTTATAATTTATATTTCTAAAGTGAATAATTAAACGGAAAAACGTACAAAAAAAATCCTAATTTTATAATCAAGTAGGTACGACAAAATGTTTACAAAGAAAACGAAAAAGTTTAATGTAATCAGCAGAGAAATATACAATTTGTGACGTCTTGCACTGAATCGATCATTCCGTGTTGCAAATTGAAACAATTTTTTTTTTTTGGTAGACTGGGAAGTAAGCGATTATAGAATCGGCAGAAAAACAAAAATATCTTGAGCGAATGGTTTTTGCTGATCACGAAGGGCGCCATTACTTATGTCATGACCCGTCGTCCTTAACCTCCAACGCTTGTACTGTAATTTCCCTTTCGATAGGACGTTATAATTATACACCTGAAACTAGTTGTTTTTTTTTTTTTTGACGACCAGTGCGCAGTTACCGAAAAAGAAAAACGTAACCAGACGGTGAAGATGCGTTCAATACAAAATAATACTTAAAATATTACATTGAATTTCGACGGCGGCCACTGTAAAGACGTTCGAAGGTCCGAAGGTCTTTCCTGGACGTTCCCGGGTGATCAATAACCTTTCGATTAGTAGGTGTGTGTGTGTATGGACCCGTGTTCGTCGGGGGTTCGTTAAGTATGAAAATGAGCGGTTCATTTTCATATTTGATCACTTACCCTACCTATCATTATACTAACGCGATACGATAACATTATTCAATATTATTGCGCGATTCGCCGAAAATATCATCTTAATATTATAATAAAATATTACACTATAAAATGTAACTATAATATATTATGTAAACACAGTGTGTCGAAGATAATAATGTAATACCATTATAATATTGTGAGTGTGTGTGTGTGTGCTTTGGACGGCCACCAATCGAGAATCGTGATACTATAACTATGATGGTTCGTAAGTAGCTATTTCACATTTCCTCGGCTAAATGCACTATTGTGTCAAATGCAATCTTTATGGGCAACGTTCATATGCTGGTTGTCCGGCTCATTAACCCTTAATAAGAGCGGTGTGTTCTCTCGTAGTTATATATTTTTGTGAATTCAGTACCCGGTAGAAATGTTCGATTGCGTTATTATTTTTTATATTTATGTAATAAAACCCTACACATGTGTATCTTGCAAGTATATGAATCATTGTTTTCATCTAGCCGGTGACCCTCAAACGCAACGATAATGGGCAATAGCGATCCGAGCACGTCGCACAATAACCATTAAACGTGGAGTAGACAAATTAAAATGAATACCCGCCTTAACGTTCTCCTCATTGGGTATAAACAAAAATTGCCAATTTACCTTTTTACCGCATGAAAAAAATACCGAAAACAATATGAAAATTAAATAACGCGTTCAAACAAATCGAAAACAACAATTTGATATTAATTGAGTTTTAATTTTTGTTTTTTTTTTTCAGAATACCAACAGTGAAGCGAATAGCAGTTTTTCGGTAAGACGATTTCCCACCTTATAATAATAATAATAATGATAAATAAGCTTAAAAATAGTCAAATAGCTTGGTAATTATTAAGGTAGCGATCAGATGACCAGCATGCGCCATTAGTAGAGTTGTATAATTATAGCATATTATCAGAACCACTACACTATTATGGTCGTAAGACAAATACAAATTTAGTTTATCCAATCATTTATTAGCTCGACACCGTCGTATTATAATTAATTGCTTAATTTGTCAAGTTGGTCTCAACAGCCATACAGGGTGATCCCCATCTGATGTAAGACACTTGTCTTCTTGGAAAATATGAATATTTTGAAAATTATTTTACCCTAATACTTTTTGGTACAAATTTTACTATATTTTTTAATACTTGGGAAACTTTTCCTCATTAAATAATAATATTGACCCCGTCGATAACGTTGCATAGGTAGATAAAGTCCGCTTGTCTGTCATTGTCTCAAAACATTTCATTGTGTCTAATATTGGTGTTTTCACCTATCGGACAATGTATGAAAATATTCACATTTTTCGAGCAAACGAGTGTCTTACATCAGATGTATCGCCCTGTTTAGACATCATGTATTTAGTTGGTTAATGTTCGCACAACCATTATTTCCCAAATTATAATCATATTATATATATTTTTTTTTATTACTATGTTTTACAACTTAAAGCCTAATCGTTTCTTAACATCGGTGGACATTACGGAATAAAGCGGAACTGTGCCAATTGGCCGTCATCGTTTAGCGGATTCAAAACAACATATTACCTAAGCACTTCTGATAGTATATTAAATATGCTCAGGACCTGTCACTTGTCAGTCTGTCCGGGGATCACCTACCCGGTCTACGGACTATATAGAATAATGTAGGACATGCTGGATATTGATTCTGGTCGTTTGATTTCATTATCGTAAGGCACGGATATATTTATAAATAATAAACTAGATTGCTAACTAGTGATAACAATGGAAGTCGACGTCCGCCATATTTGTGGGATTTATGTGTGTATAAAATAATATAACTGTAGTTCTGTGTTAACAGCTCAACTTATACTATTGTTGTAAATACATTTTCACGCGATAAGGTTCAAATTCAAGATGTCGGAAAATGGTAACTTCAATAATTATCTTATTGGGCGGCGTGTACACGTCTTGGCAACAGGTTTTATCTTATTTTTATCAATTTGTCGCCGCACGCCCAGATGAATGATATTGCCTGTTCGATCCGTCTTGGTCTTCTTCTTTATTTATTTTTTTGTATTATTAAATAACGAGAGCGTGGGCCACATTAATCTGGTGAAATTATCGCGGCGGGTTGTTGAACCTGCAGAAGCGCGCCTCGTACACACCGTCATCTCCGTGGTCGCATTGTACGCGCCCGCCAAGACCATATGACGTGCGAGTGTGTGTATACAAAGCGTTTGTTCGCCGTCACAATAGAGTACCGTAACGCCAATATATAGGTGATTAGATCAGGAAAATGTATTTATGTATAATAAAACGCGTTAACAAACGCTAAACTTTTTGCGCCGACCATCTAATAGGAACATCTGTAATACATGATTGAAGTCGCAAGTCTGCGTGGACGTAGAGCAAAATGGACCTAAGACCGTGTGCTTGGCCAGTGTCATCTTCACCCTGAGGGTGCGTGGGGCACGAGTCCAGGGCGGCCCCCAAACCCTGTGTGCCCGTTTAAATGGTCAAAATGGACTTTAAAGTTTTCATTTTTCATTATGCTCCATGTCGACTTTTTCACCAAACTCTTCACAAGTTATTTAATTTTTGCCCTTAGAGTGCCATTTTTTCACAGTATACAGAGGATTATTAGTTTTTGTACTCACTGGACTAGCTCAATTTGGCCAAAAAGTGAGTTCCCGCCGGTCACAAGTTCACCGGGGATTAACAGAGATCATACCTACAGTACTATTATGTTATATTTTCATCCGAGCGATCGTTTCTGTTCCGTTGTCCGGGCTTCTGGTATGATATTACCGTGCGACTTGCTAGAGTGGTAAAAAATACATACAATATCAACCTACAAGTTAATAAAAAAATAAATAAATGCTATATCCCCATTTTCTACGATTCGATGGGCTGATAAATCGCACGCGGTTATACGACTGACAGATAGCCGTCGCGCCGTGCGGTCGCCATCGCATTTTTCACCGGGCCGATTCCTCGACCGTCTCTATACGTTTCACAAAGGTAATAATGATAATAATTTTACAGCGACAATATTGTGTGTATAATATGGAACAGGCCATAGACGTACTTGATCCGTCTTTCCCCTCCCATCCCATCCCCCTTTCATCGTCCATAACGTATAATATTATTACAACGGCCGCTGCTGCCGAGTATATGGAATATTATATTGAAAAATGAATTTTAAAAAAAAAACTCCCATTGACGACCGTCGTGATTTATTATAGAATTTCATACATACAACCTCTCGTCTCGTCAGTTTTCCTCTTTGGATTATCGAAATTACAATAATAATAATAATGACTCTATATCTAAAAGCGAATCGCGTGTACACATGCACCGATATATAAATATATATATACTATAATAATATTATTATTATATTATGTACTTTGGCCACCGCAATGTTATTTCCATTGTGTACAAGACGCGTTCGTGTGTCTGCAAGGTTACTTAATTATTATTGTACTTGTACAAGTCTTGTAACCGCTTTAATTGATTCCGAGTCATGTGCCGCCCGCCAAGAGTAGTTTGCACACTACGGATTACCGCCACAACGTTTATGATTACCCACAATGCTGCAAGGAGAGCAGTCATAATATTATATATATATATATATATATATACATATTTTTTTTTTTTAATTTTACAATTTATTTCAACCAGAGTCGGCAAAAAGAAACCAGGCGGATTTTTTCCTGTTCGAGTCCAGCAAACGGCCATTGGTATTCACCCGAATCAACTCAACTGGGTCGGGCCGCCTCTCTTAAACAAAAACCCAGGCAATTGCCAACTCTGATTTGAAACACAGTCACGCAAATGTGTCCAATTATTATCATATCAAAGCACAACTATCAATTAAACTGAACGCACGCCGTAGTCAGTCCAATTGAAAAGAACAAATATATTTTTATCAGCAAAATATATTACACTTATGTTTGCTATTTTATCTATTATCTAAAAATTACTTTAGACAGTTTCGTTCGTGAGCTGTAAAACTTTTAAATAAAAATTGTCAAATATTTTATTTTTGATACATTTTTAAAAATGTTTTTCGACTAAAATTGTAGCTTTAAATTAATTTGTTTTTATGAGAATAAACAAATCATTTTTCTACTTAGTATTCACGGAAGGGGGATAAGATTTTTCCCACTAAAAATAATATAAAGTCGCGTTGCACATGCCTTGTACAGTATTAGGTTTTTATAGTTGTAAATTATCATTTTATCGTCCAAATATAAAATCTAAAAATAGTGTTTTTATTAAAATGAAACTTAAATCTTAAAACTTTTTGACATGTTCCAAAGGGAAGCCATGGTTTTGGGTTAAAAATCATTATAATTTTATGGCGCTAATAGAAATATTTGCTATTTCCAGTGCGCTGTTGTGTGTTTTCTAATTAAACATTATTACTATTATTATCTTTATTTAGGTTTTGTACGCTTATATTTCAATGTGCTCTATACGTTCTCCTCGGCCTCAGGTTAGGCACACCCGTCGCGGTATAGCCGCTGTTGTCGTATTTTCGGAATTTAGCTTTTGGCTATCTATTAAATATATATATATATAATTGATAAATATGTATACTGTGACTGTGAAAGTCTTTCCTTCGCCTTTTGTGCGTGTGACATTTGATCGACAATTTGTTGACGAATTTCATATTGTAATGCTATATGATTTCTCTAGTTAGTGACCGTATAGCGTATAGCCTATAACAACGTGTACCTACTATCGTTTGCACAATGCAAGTGTCGACCGTTAACTCTTCTGCCACGCAGCAACAACAGTAATTATTATTTTCAAACGGTTGAGAAATAATTTTGTTTTTACACACATATTAGGTATGTACCGAAATAATAATATTGTTGCGGCGTTTAACTTTCCATTGTTCAGGGCCATTGGATCATAATTATTAACATGTATTAATCCAATTTAATACATTTTCCTTCTTTATATTTTTCCACAACAACCAATGATACAATATACCTACCTAATAATATAATAGTATATCGAACAAGAGCAGTGCTTGAAACGTTTGTATCGACTAATACCGCCTAGTTTTGCCTAGTTGACAAAATTGTAGTGTTAAAAAAATGCATACACTTTTTTTTTATTCGGATATCAACCGGGGAAATCCCTTGGTTCCCCCTTCCCCTCTATTGCGGCTACCGGCATTGACTAGTGGTTATCCGTATGAACGGTAAATGGTTATTTTAAATGTGCCGTGTCTCCCGGCGGTAACGGTATACCCGTGCATCATGTACTTTTGACGACGGTTTTTCCCTGAACATTATCTGACCAACGGATGAGGTTAGCCCGTATGTGTGGGTACACAGACGGCGGTTTGCATCTATTGCCCAGTCACCGTCTGTGCAGCAAGCCGTTTGCCGGTGTACAATCCAATTATTGCACACTGAACACCTATAATATGCGTATGTATTTAACATGTACCTACCGACACGCACGAACCCGTTGAAATCGAACGGTTTTCCATGTAAAAAAAATTCTGTACATCCTCCTGTATAGGAGTTCTGTGTGTTGAGCTGATTATAACAATATTGTCGTAGATACAATGCGTTTTGCACCAACCTATATAGTCGTCCAACGATCGTCTCGAAAGACTTCAACGCTCGCTCCGGTATTGCGCATTAACTACCTACAAGTTTTAAACTTTTTATTTTGATATTGGTTACATTTTCTAAACATTCTTATTTTACGGTTTGAATATGAAATTAAAAAAAAAAAAAATGTATTAATTGTGCATGATAACTTTGGCCCCTATTTATAT